TGCAATATTTTTATTTTCGCATTCCTCCTCGACGGAATTTAGGTCTCTGAGTTTTGATTTCGACTTATATTTCTGTATTCAGAGGTTTCGGAATTCGAAAGAGTATTTCTGACTGAATATATGTCAGGTAAATTGAGTTTCAAAGATCATCAAGTTGTGAATTGAAACATGTATATGACAATGGATAATGATATTGCAGGTTGTGAACAAACAAGATCAGATTCTGAGGATGAACCTAGACGTTCTAGAATTGGGAGCCTGAGAAAAAAGGCGATTAGTTGTTCGACTAAACTTACTCATCCTCTGAAGCGAAAAGGGAAACGGAAAATCGATTACCCGATGCCTGTAATCGAGGATGTTAGGGATGCGAAAGAGGAGAAGATTGTTTCTGAATTGCGTCAATTACTTTTGAAGAAAGATTTGTTGCCTCCAATGCATGATGATTACCATATGTTGTTGAGGTAAAAGTAGTAGATATATATTTTATTCAGAGAAATGAAGAATTTTTTTTGTTTGCTTTTCCTTGTGCTTGATTCTGATTCTACTCTTTTAACTTACTAGGTTCCTGAAAACAATGGAATTCAACATCGATAAAACTGTCGCGGCATGGGAAGAGATGCTTAAATGGAGGAAAGAATTTGGAACGGATCGCATTATTCAAGTAAGGAATATATAGATGGTTTCAGCTGTTGCTTCTACCTCGGGGTCTAACGACATTTTTACAAATAGGAATTCAATTTCAAAGAGTTGGACAAAGTTACACGGCACTATCCTCAAGGGTATCATGGAGTTGATCAAGATGGTAGACCTATCTATATCGAGAGACTCGGGAAAGCTCATCCTGGTAAGCTTATGGATGTTACCACGATAGAGCGATACTTGAAGTACCATGTACAAGAATTTGAGAGGGCTCTTCAAGAGAAGCTCCCTGCCTGTTCAATCGCGGCAAAGCGACGAGTTACTACAACCACCACAATACTGGATGTTGAAGGCCTGGTATGGTTCATTCATCTATAGATGTTCTAGAGAGTGATCACACGGTTTTTTTTTTCTTCTTATGAATTGTGACATTGCTCTAATGGTTGTAATTCAGGGTATGAAGAACTTTTCTCCTACAGCTGCAAATCTCCTGGCCTCCATTGCTAAAGTAGATTGCAATTATTACCCTGAGGTACATAACTCTTTGAAGAATACACTTTTTTTTTCATGGACCCAACGAGCCGAGTGGACAAGGCTTAATGAAACTTAAAAGACGTGTCTTGGATATTTCGGTTGATCTAAAAGTTTATAATCATGGTCTCTGACTCTTGCAGACTTTGCACCGAATGTTCATTGTCAATGCAGGGATTGGATTCAGGACTTTGCTTTGGCCTGCTGCCCAGAAGCTTCTTGATCCGATGACTATTGCAAAGATACAAGTAATGATTTATCGCTCTGGTTTTAAGCTTATATTCTCCTATTTGGTGTCAGCATCTACTCATTACTTTTATCACTCAGGTATTGGAGCCAAAGTCCTTGTCCAAGTTACTTGAAGCAATTGATTCCAGGTTAATATGTTGTAGATTGCCTCGTTCAAGTTTTGGCTACGGTATACGAACATTATCATTTAGTGCTTTTATCTTCTTTGCATACAGTCAACTTCCAGAATTCTTGGGAGGCTTATGCAAATGTCCTAACGAAGGAGGTTGCTTAAGGTCTAACAAAGGACCATGGAATGATCCTGAAATAGTTGAGGCATGTCCCTTTTTGTTTTTGTTGATAATATTATGAAATCCAAGAGGGGTCCTGATAGCTAATATCCGTGTCTCGTTTTGCAGCTCGTACATCACATGGAAGTAAACATCGTACCGCATACTACAAGAACTCCACTTCATATAAGAGATAATAATTCCACTACTCACATGATCCCTCTTGAGGTGAGGTCAATGCTCCATTCTTCTTAAGAGGGTTTATGTTTATGTTCCGTACAATGTTGTAACTTGAGTTTTTGTCAGGAAAGGTGTATGGAAAGTTTTAAAGAAGAGCCAGATTCTGAAGAACATTACTTTTCCAGTGGGTCGAGATCTTCAATGTACACTAGTTTAGTTCCTCCACTCTCAGATAAGGTGCTTTTCAGAACCGACATTTCTTTTCGACCATTTGGTTTCTTAAAAACATTTGGTTTGACTATGCCTCTTTTTGCAGGCTAGTACATCAGACGGTGATAAATTCATTACCACCGTGGAATCTGTAGAACCCGCTCAAGGAGAATGGTCTCAGGCCCGGTTGCGTAACACGAACACTGAAAACTCATCTTCTTCAACTACATCTAGAAGAGAAGGTGTTTTTCTTTTTCTTCATGCCTTGTTCTTTGGAGTTGCGTTAATGTTTCTTCGTCATATGGATTCTAACAAATGGTCACTATCACATTTCAGGGGGCCAGATTTTACGGTTTGGTATTCTTAGAGAGAAATTCAATGGCGAGAACATCATTCACTTGGTGAAGATATTACTAGCCTTCCCACTGAAGCTATTTGCTCTCTTTAGTATCTTATTGCCTAGATACAGGCAAAGACAGAACTATGTGGTTGTTCCAGATTCATCGGTAAACAACCAGATTATTCAGTGTTTGGATCGTCTTAAGAAGATGGAGAAAGAATTCACAGAGATTAGTAGAATCCCTGTAAAGATCCCAGAAGCACAAGAGAAGCTAATAACGGAATCTCTCGAGAGGATAAAGTCTCTAGAACTCGATCTCGACAAAACCAAATCAGTACGTCGATCTTGATCTTATATTATTATTATGAAAGCTTCTAAAACAGATAATTATATATCTGATTTGTGTGTGTGTGTTTCAGGTATTACATGTAACATTAACAAAACAGCTTCAGATCACAGAACATCTTGAATCACATTACCAAGAAGTAAAATCCTTTTTCTTAAACTTGATTCTTCAAATAAATTGAAATATGTGTTTGTTCTTTCTTTCGAGTCAAAATCTGAATTGATTTTCATTGTATGTTTGCAGCGAAGAAAAGGATGCTGTATTTGAGGCTTTTGATCATAAAAACAAAACGGGAACAGATTTGTAATTTTACAGAAATTGAGGGGGTAAACGCAAAACTTTGGGATAATTTTCTTTTTGTAAAAAAGATGAAAATTTCCGTGTGCGAGCGAACTAATATTATGCGACGTATACGTTTGAAACTC